TGTGTGTGTGTGTGTGTGTGTGTGTGTGTGTGTGTGTGTGTGTGTGTGTGTTTGAGTGTTTTGCCTGCCTGTATTACTGTGCACCACCTGCCTGCCCGAGGTCAGAAGAGGGTGTGTCTAATCCTTGGCAGTTGGAATTACAGATAACTGTGGGCCACCATGTGGGTGCTGGGAATCCAAACCCGGGTCCTCTGGAAGAGCAGCAAGCGCTCTCAACCAACTGAACCGTCTCTCCAGCCCCTCTAGCATCTCTCTTACCAGGAGAGAAAACTCCTACCAACATATCAACTTATGCCGTGTGTTTCAGTGTATACCATCCCCCTGACAGAGGGAAATATGTTTGATATAACAAGGTATGATTCGCTCCCTGGAGCAGGACACAGCCTCCTCTCAGAGCAGACACGCTGGCTGTGGGTTGGCCAGCCAGTAATGGCTGTTGCAACCAGTAGGAATGTATGCACTGTCTCTCAGGACCCAAGAATTTCTACCAAGGCCATAATAAATAATGATAGCAGGTTAATAAGAGGATGCTGTCAGCTAGGCGAGGTAGCGCACGCCTTTGATCCCAGAAACAGGTGGCTCTCTGAGTTCAAGGCCAGCCTGGTCTACTGGAAGGTAGACTGTCCTGGTCTACAGGACAGCCAAGGCTACACAGAGAAACCCTGTCTCAAAACAACAACAACAGAGAGGATGATCAAATGTTCGAGGCAAGAACAAATGCTTATTTTCAAACAGAAATGGCCCCCTTCCTGAAAGCTGAGTGTAGTATTATTTGGAATCTTGCTCATCGCCAAGCATGCCAAATCTTGTCAAAGGGCTAAGGAACCAAACTGCATCATTACTGAAAGTTTTCCTCTTATGGTGACCCTTGTCTACAACCATGAATAAGGGTATTTGTCAAACATGAGACAATGATACAATGTCCTTATTTCTGCAGAGCCCATTTATTGTCTGGCTCCTGCTCAAGGGCTCAAAGGTATCTTGGCAGTTTAACTGACCCTCTGCTTGTACCTCAGAGCCTGGCCTTGCTGGCCAGCTGATCTTGTATTCTTCCTTATGCATTAATTACAAAGAAAGCCTTTAGAGACCCGTTTAAAATATCTTTATTTTATCATAAGTGCTCTAAAAACATCTTTTTTAAAATGCTATCTAAGATGGCCTTACTGAAAGATTTCAGGTATGGGGTTCAAGGAGGACACCGAAGAAGACTGTCCTTTTGGGTAAGAAGGCTATTAGAATAATGATTAATGCCATGCATGGCAAGGGCACAGAGGAGGCTCAGGCACACAGACAGGGGGTGGCTCTTTTTCACAGTGCTCAGAGGAAGTGGTGAGAATTGGAAGCACCATCTTCACAGGCAATTCAGCTGGCCCGCCCTTAGGGACCTTTTGGATCCTGACAACGCCCTATGTCAGTACCTGCGTCCAGTGACGTCATCTGGGCCGGGTACTTAGCGGCCGGTCTGTCACTCTGTCTACGTCTGTCTGTCTCTCCTTCCCTCTCTCTCTCCATCTTAATCCAATAAATATCTTTCATATCGAATCTGTCAAATGTGCGGTGCATTTTTAAATATATCCTAACACCTTCCCCAGGCTGCCTCTGATTCCTGGGTAGCAGAGGCAACGGAAGGACATTCCACAGAAGGGCTATGTAAGTCAGAGGACTTGGTGGAAGCACGGACTGAGATGTACCCATTACGTGGGCAATAGGCTGTGTCAGCACCTGCCACCAGAGGATGTCTGTAAGCTTCCTTGGGGAGAGGCGCCTAGTTCTCAGAGCCCAGACCCACCTGGGGCAGCTATTTGAAGATTCATCGACAGGTTCTCAGGAATGGGCCTATCTCTCCCTGTAGCAGAAGGAATCTTAAAATTAACAGGGAGGATAATGGCAGTGAGGGCTGACTGCAGATGGGAGTGGCTTGAGTGCTGCCTGGTGGTCTGGGTTCTTTTTTTTTTTTTTTTTTTTTTTTTTTTAAGATTTCTGTATTTGCTTTATGCACTGTATGCACACAAGTGCCTGTGGAAGCCAGGTGACATCTGATGGCTCCAGGCACACATGAGGTGCACAGAGATTCATGTAGGCAGGGCATCCATACACATAAAATGAAAGTAAATAAATCTTAAGAATGTGCTCTCTTTCTGCCTAATAGCTTTTGTTTCCCCTGCTAGCTGATAAGATTTAGTCAAAGAACACCCTGGGAATGATGTCAAATGCTCTGAATGTCCCACAAAAACAATGATAATTTGTTTTTCTCCTGAAATCTCCCTAAACTGAGAACATGCCTCCCATTCTGAGGTAGCTCAGAGTAACTGTCCTGTTTCAGGTCTCTGTCACTCTGAGAATTTGACAAACATGGCAATTTTTCTCCAGCTCAGCTTCATTCCTGCAGAGAAATTCTGCTTACTTTTCAAGTGATTTCCCAGATGTGACAGTGGCTCACAGTAAAAAGTCAAGTAGGGAGGGCCGGGCATTGTGGCACTTGAGAGGCAGAGGCACGTGGATCTCTGTGAGTTCAAGGCCAGCCTTGTCTACAAAGCGAGTCCAGGACAGCCAGGGCTACACCGAGAAACCCTGTCCCCCAAAAAACATAAAACAACAAAAAGTCAAGTAAGAAGGAAGAGAGAAAAAGAATTAGAGTGAATGCAAAGGAGAAAGTTCCTTGTATTGTTCTCTGTCTGAGAATGGGAAGTTCTGCCCCTGTGAAGTGGGGCCTGGTCACTGGATGTCTCAGGTTCTATCAGCGAGACCCGATCCTGTTCTTTCTACCTTGTCTGCTGTTTCCACAAAGAGTAAGGAAGGATAGCAACAGATCTCAGAAAGCCAAACCCAAGTGTAAGCATGCCAGACTCTACTACAGTAAAAGTGGAAAAACATCTGTCAAAATGACACACACGGGCTCTCTGAAGAACAGCTGGCCATGGCCATTCCCTGTCAGTAATGCTGTGTTCAGCCAAAGAAAACTAAAGCTACTGCGCAAGGTTCAGCAGTTAAAGAGTCTCCGAATGTGGGCTTGAATGGTGAAAAGTGTGGCTAGAGGCCCTGATGTCTCTGCAGCCACATCTTTGACCTAAATTATGTCATTTATTCTGCAAAGATAAATCAAGAGGGATTAATGATCCCATCTTACCACAAGATTAGAGACTGCAGAAGTTAAGCCATTTCATTCAGGCTGCAGAATTAATTTGGGCGTAAACCCAATGTAAACATTACAAAGTGTGGCCAACATTATGACATGATATTATTTTCTGCAAAATTTATACTGGAGAACTATGCAATGAGTTCCTCCAAAAAAAAAGTCTAGTAATTTTTTTTAAAATATTCGCATGTTTGTGCATGCACGAATGCATGTGTGGGCACACTTGCTGTGTCTGTGTGTGTCCTCAGGTACCCACAGAGGCCAGAAGAGGGTATCACATTCCTTTGATCTGGAGTTACAAGCAGTTGAGAGATGTCTAGCATGGATGCTGAAAGCCTAACTGTGGTCCTCTGGAAGAGCTCTTAACTTTCAAGCCATCACTCTAGTGGTAGTACTTGGTGGACTAGAGAGCTCCTATTTCCCCTGGCAATAATAAGCACACACTTCATCGTCAGAAGGTAGCATTTCATGGTGCCATTTCCTCAGAACCTCCTAAAATGCAGTAATTTTACAGTTTTGTGTAGAGGGCATTCCTCCTACAGGACATGGATTGTATATGGCTGTTAGCCTATCAACTTCAAAGCCCACTTTACAGGTTCCTCACATGGAACCTACAGTAAGCTCCTCCCTTGCCCTCAGCACCTTGCAAGGTGCAGGGCTTGAGAAGCCTTATATCATGTGTGAGAGTCTGTATCGTGTGTGTGTGTGTGTGTGTGTGTGTGTGTGTGTGTGTGTGTGTGTGTAAAATGATGAGATCTTGGGTATTGAAGAAAAGGACTGAATAGCCTGTAGTGTTTGTCTTCTCAGAGTTCTTCAGCCTAGTGCTTCTGGCTAAAGGCAAATTCATTACTTAATGAGCCTCAGTTTTAAATAAAAATAATGGTCTGTTCCACTAAGTAATTACTAATGCTCTCCAGTAATCTTGGTTTATAGTCTTCAAATTCTCTCACTTATCAAGCAGAAATGAATGTTCAATGCAGTGTTGTACACATGGAATGTTTATTAAGTGGTGAAACAGAGCGCAGATGAACTATCAAGTTGTCAATCCAATTTGCATAACCTATAACTTTTTGTATAACTTAAAACATATGGAAAAAGTATAAAAGAATACCAAAGAGGCCCACACACCTGTACCCAAAATAGCTACTTATTAACTTTTTTTTTTTTTTTTTTGTTACACAAGAGCCAATGAATTTAAATATAGCTCAGACCTGTGGATTAGAAAGCTCATCAGAACTGCTGTTGAGCTCCCATGAAAGCTCAGAGAGAGGGGGAAAGTTTTCCAGTGCAGTCAAGACCAACTTGGAACTTGTGATCCTCCTGCCTCTGCCTCCAGAGTGCTCGGACTATAGGAAGGTACCAGCACTACCAGCTAAGATTGCCTTTTAAGGAAAGAACACTCTCACAGTCTTTTAAGAAAAAGACACTGTCAAACTATATGAAAAAAGGAATTCTACCTGAGGATAGAAATCAATTGACAGCAGCTGGGTCCCTCTGCTGCCTACCAACAGCAATCAACATGGCTGCCATCAAGCAATCTCTATTTAAGCATCTGAGGTCCCATTTCCTCTGGCAATGGTAGCCACATGCTTCATCATCATTGGGTAGAATTTCACAGTGCTAGAAAAGGCCCACATTGCTTCAGAACAGCCACATGTGGTTCCAGACATACTGTCAGGTCACAACCTTCTGGCTCCCCAAAAGGCCATCAGGCTGAATAACTCTTCTGGGTGTGCTTTACCTGTGGAACTGAGCTCTAAAAACACAATCCTGGAAGATGCCAGAACACCTGGGCATGACCTTGTCTTGGAGGAGTAGGCAGTCAGTGGCACACCAGCCAGCAGGTATGACGAGGCTGCTTCAGCTCTTCCTCAGGCTGCCTTCCTCTCCAGCCATGCTTTAGGAAGGCTTCAATGCTGGCGTCCACTTAAATAAAACCTAGTCCCTTCATAGAGGTCTGTCAGGGAGGTCACACTGAAGGCCTGCTGCAGCTCACTCTTGCTGGTGGCCTTCCAAGGATAAAATAGAACAGAACGCATTGGCTCAATCATGAGGAAGCCGTTATCACTAAATCGCCCTGGGATGCTTCCTACGTCCAACCAAACAAAGGGAGCGATGGCCGAAGTCTTCAGAGCAAAAACAAATATATTACCCTTCTGAGAGATGTTGACCTGAAAAAAAAAATAATAATAATAAAAAGGTAAGTGAAATGAAGGACAAAAGAGCTGCAGCCTACATCTATGTCAGCCAGACATTTATTTATGTCGGCCCAATAGAAACTGCATTTCCCAACACTTTGGTCCAAACTGGCAAAGTCATATATTCTGTGCAGTTATGACACTTGCCATAACTAGAAAATGATTTAAGTCTGTGGGAAATTACCAATTGTCATCTCAAACCAATGCATACATGCCAATTATTAAGGAAAAAAGCTCTGAGAAGCTAGAAGCTTTATATCCTGACATATCTTCATTAGAACATCACCAAGAAAGGGGCACTTGCCATTTGGGGGCTTAAGTGCCTATTTCGAAGGATTGGGAAGGATTGGGACTGGACTCAGCTGCAGAATACAACCACAGAGCTCCTAGATTCAGGTGTGAAGTCACATGTGTTCCCAGATCATGGCACCTTCTTTTCTGGTGAAGACCCCAATTCAGACACAGGGAGGCAAATCACATGGCTCATCCCACCCAGGCCACGGCGCACCAAGGGAAGCCTTGGCTACCAGCCGCAAGGCCAAGGCCAAAGAGACACCCGATTCCTACTTTGGAGAAGAAAATCTCACATCTCTGTACACTTTACAGGGAGCTGGGGTTTGAGCTTGAACTCTGGGTTCACAGAGATAGACACAATAAGTGCCCCTAAACAATAACTGCTAATTAACATTATTAGAAGAATACGTCTCACTGATATGTTAATGAAATGGAACAAATAAAGAAGCCCTTCTGCCATCTTATGCTCAATGATCATGAAGTAACCAGAGCCTAGCTAAGCAAAAAATAATAATAATAATTAAGTCTTTTAGGTGTATGTGTGTGTGACATGCACATGTGTGTGACACACAAAGGCTACTGGTCAAGGTCAAGAAGCCTATTAAATTGCTTATTCGCTTTATTTTTTTTAAGACACGGTTGCTCGCTGAGCCTAGAGCACTCCAATTCAGCGAGGCTGCCTGGCATGCAAGCCCCAGGAGCCTTCCCTGCCTCCGCCTCCCCAGGGCTGGGATTGCAGGCACAAGCTGCCACAATGGCTTTTTAATTTAGTTTCTGGGGACCAAACTCAGGTCCTCACATTTGCTAGCACTTCAGCGACTGAGCCCTCTCACCACCACACCACTTTGATGTTGTGGACAGACTGTGAATGTGTCCGTTAGCTGCCTTTGCTACGGCTGTACATCACTCTTGTTTTGCCGTGATCCACGTCACCATGGTGATGTGCAGACAAGGGTAGTTGATCTCAGACTTGCAGCGTGCCAAGATTCCATGATGGCAGAGCAGAGGCCTGGCAGCAAGCAGCAGGCCCAGAAGCCGGGAGCTCATATCTTGAACCACAGCACAAAGCAGGAAGAACAAACTAGAAATGGACTGACTCTTTAAACTCTCAAAGCCCGCCTCCAGTGACACACTTCCTCCAACAAGGCTGAACTTCCTAAACCTCCCCAACCAGGATCACCTACTGTGACCAAAAGTTCAAATACGTGAGCCCCTGGGGACATTTTCTCATCAAAATACCATAAGATGCTTCTTGCTCTGCTGTTTAAAAAGATAAAATAAAAAGTGGCATTAGCATACGCCAACTTTTTAATCTCTACTCTCCTTCAGTTGTTCCAGAGAGGTGAGACTTGGCCACATGAATATTTCACTGTAAATTCAGAAAGGTTTGTTTTCAGTTATTTTAACTTCTTTTGAAAAAAATAGTTATTTTTATTTTGTCATTTCTAAAGTCAGTTTCAAAAAATTTCAATAAACTAGGTAACAAATTTAAGTTTGGCTAAAGAGAATGAAACTTCCTAGAAAAATACTGTCAGTTTTTACGTGGAGGGAGAGAAGGAAGGAAAGGTTTTCAAGCAACTAGACAGATGCCAAGCTTACCAGCTGCATCATTTTGAAGAAAACACGTCCTGATTATCCCTTTCTTTTTTCCTTGCCAATTATAAAGAGATTTGGTAAGCAGCTTTGAAGCAATGAATCAAAGTGGAGTGATTAACAAACTGTACTTAAAGAGTCAAAACTAGTGACTCAATCAACACCTAGTGCTTCCTGGGACGTAGGACACAGAGCACTGCCTTCTCACTTGCAAAGCCAGATCACAGTATGTTCAGGATATTGCAGAAGCCAGAGCTTATGCAGCGGCCTGCCTACATCAGAGCTGGAAGCCAGTGGTTCCAGATACAATCTGTGTAGATGGTTTATGCCCTCTCTCTTCCCACCATAGCAGCCCCAGCAGGGAAAGATGACAGGGCAGCACGGTGTGGCAGAAACTGATTACAAACAATCCTGAAGAAGAGAGAAAAATCACTTAGCCTTAGCATCCATCAGGAGGACAGGAACCTTTCCCAGGCCTCACCTTAACAGTGCTAAGACAGAACAGTACCAGGTCAGAACTTGCTTGCCCAAGAAAAGGAACAGCCCACAGGCCTCTGCAACCCAGACGAGAAACACTTACAGTGATTTTGGCCTTGGCCAGCCCTTTAGCATCCTTCAGGGAGGACAGGAAATGGTAGTTGGTTGGGCTGAAGAGTTCATTGTTGGTTAAAAGGGAGAAGGAAACCACACAGGTTTTCCTCGTACATGTCTTGCATCTGTTGAGCATCGCAGGCACCGGCTCCTTGTAGAGGACCACAGCCTGCCCTGCTTTAATCACAGCACTTGGAGTCACAAGAGTGCACAAAGGCGTCAGGGACCCCCAGGTATAGAGCCTCACCTAGGGAGAAGAGAGTGACAATGAACATTCTTGCCTGTCTATTTAGAGAGTGGTATTAGCAGAGCTGACTGACCGTAAAACTCAATCTTCACTGCATTCCCACCAAGTTCTAGCCACATAACTACTAACTCAACTTCCCAGGTCACATTTCTTCATGTATAAAATGAGGAGAACCATACTGAGAATGTTACTGCCTGTCACCAGAATTAGAAATGGCAACAAGCCACCATCCACCCCATACATGGCACAATGCAGGTCTTCGACAGTCAGGGTCTATCTCTAGAGTTAGTGGAACCATCCGAACTGCAGACACCCAAAGGTTTCCAAGTCTTTCTTTTTACTTAAACTTTAAGACACTAGTTCATTTTTCTATATACCTGTTCTGAATAGTTTTACTGATTTCAACCTTATCATGCCCCCTTAATTACGCCTATAAAACTTGTGCTAGTACCAGCTTCTCACAGTTATAATCTTACATTTACATAGCCTTTGCAGTTTACACAGTTCTTCATGTGACTCTTTTATTCATTTTTCACAGATAATACTAAAGGAGCCAGCCTAGAATTATTTGACAGTGGAAGGAATTGAGTCCCCAAGATGATGACAGCTTTGCTCAGGTTATATGGCAGACATCAGCCTGACTAGCGTATGCACAGCCCAGCTCATGCTACAAACAGTAAAAGCATTTTGATGTGGATCAATTTCTCCTTTGTTTGTCCCCAAAAGAACATAACCAAACAATTAAGGAAGTCATCTGAAAGTCCCCCTCAACCATAGCGACAAAAATAAATACAAATCCAAGTAACTCACGGTGAGCCTCGTGGTGTAGTCTCTGTGAAGATCTGACACACCGTAGACATAAAACACATTTCCGTCTTCAAAACCTACTGGCAACAGCGGAGCGAAGAAACGCTGTGCGAAGTAATGCAGCATTTTCCACTTTCCTCCATACTCTGAAAACAGCCAAGAGTCAGGAGACAGCAGGGACAAGCAGCTGGGGTCAGGGTCCACATGAGAGCAAGTATGGCTTGTCAGAGCCTTTCGAGGCACATATGTGAGGGAGTCTGTGTTAGGGGCCCCTCAGTGTGCAAAGGACTCTGGAGCATCAGTTCTGGGCCTCACAACATCAGAAAGAGAAAGGCAGCTAGTAACTACCTATTTTCGAGATTAAAGATTCAAGCACTTAGTTGAAACATGCTGGGAACAGTATCCTGAGCCCAGATTTTACTCCAAAATAACCCTCCCTCAGAGGCAGCCTTGTCTCCGGAAGTGCAGTACATCAATGCTCTTTTGAGTTTGTTTTGTTTGAGACAAGATTCAGGCTGGCCTTAACCCCTGGGTCTTCCAGTTTTAGCCTCCTGCACGCTAGAATTACAAGAGTACACCAGAAGGCTGGTTACCAATGCTCTTTTTTCACTACACAAACGTAATGGAGGAAATCATTAGCAGCAGGAGTGGAAGCTTGTTGCAAATTTTCATTCATAAGAATTATCTGGACTTTATTCTCCTTTTTCCACAGGAACAAAAATCTTCTACGCAAAGCAAAACAGCCACTATTCAAAAACTTCTTTCAGAGTCAGATTAGACATCCAAGTCCATGGCAATTAATAAAACCTCCTCAAACACAATTCAAAACTGCTAAAACTCTGTAGAATTCTAGGCCTTGTTTCAGATGTCTAGTAGTCTAAACCTCCTTTGGTTTATTTGAATTGGATATATTTGAATTGCTACTATAAAATGCCATGATCAAAAGCAACTTACAAAAGAAAGGATTTGTTTTGGCTTAAGGATCCAGAGTCTATAGAGAAGGCACGGCATGGTGATGGGAGCTGGTTGGTCGCATTTTAGCCACACACAGGAAGCAGAAAGAACAAGCACAGGTGGGCGGGAGGCTGTACACCCACAAAGCCCTGCCTCCTGTGACATACTTCCTCTACCAAGGCTGCAACGCCTCCTAAAGATCCCATAACCTGCCCAATAGTGCTACCAACTAGGCACTAAGTGTTTAAACACATGAGACTACTGGGGACATTTCTCATTCACCACAGCTTCTCATTCAACCTCTTATTATCTTCCTTTCTCAACATCTGAAAACGAAGATTCTCCCGGATAAAGAACCATTTCTAGAGGCCAGAAGAGCAAGACAAAGGGGGAAAAAAAAGGTGGAAAAAAGCCTTCTCGAAGAAGTGGACGTATGAGATAAATTTTCCTTTTGCTAAAACAGGGAATGATCTTTCTAGAAAATATGATTAGCTGCTATCCGGAGGAGGGGGAAATGAAGTGAAGATCTAATTAACTAAATAGAAAACAATTTTTTCCAGCTGTACAACTTTTAGAAAAACATCCTGATCATCTTTTTTTTTTTTTTTCATCAATTATAAAGCAATTTGGTGACTAAGCCATTTTGAAGCAATAAATCAAAGAGTGGTTAATAGGCTGTACTAAAAGAGACAGAACTATAGTCATTCAACCAGCCTCCAATGCTTGCTGAGCCTCAGGACACTGAATTTGCTGCCTGACCTTGGGGACTGCTCTCTTATTTGCCAGAGCAGATCACGGTGCTTCAGGGATGCTGTGCAGTAGGGAACCTAGGACAAAGCCTGGCACACAGTGGCACACAGTTGCCTCCACTGAGAGGGACAGAGATGGGGAGTTGAGCACAATGTACAGTGCAAGCTGTGGAGCTGGAAAGAAGATAAAAACCAATTTCTTTCAAGGTGTGCAAAATTTCAAGTCTTAAAATTTCATTCTCAATAATTTCTGGGTTTTGTTTGTTCGCTTATTTTGTGTGTTTGCTTTTGTTGTTGTTTGTTTCAAGACAGGGTTTCTCTGTATAGGCTTGGCTATAGATCAAATTGGCCTTGAACTCACAGAGATCTGCCTGCCTCTGTGTTCCCAAGTGCTGGGATCAGGGTGTGCACCACCACCCCAGGCTGGTTCCTGTTTTATTGTTTGTTTGTTTGTTTGTTTGTTTTTTTAAAGCAGCAATTGGTGGATGAAGTGTAATACAGAGAAGCCAGTCTTCTTTGGGCTTCTTCTTCTTTTTTTAAAAAAATACATTTGTTTATTTATTTTTATGTATATGAGTGATCTGTCTTCACACACACTAGAAAAGGAAATATATATAAAGAACTCAAGAAGTTAAACAAAAAAAAAAAAATCAAGTAATCCAATTAAAAATGGGATACAGAGCTAAACAGAGAATTCTCAATAGAGGAACATCAAATGGCAGAGAAACACTTAAAAAAATGTTCAATATTCCTAGTCATTGGGAAATGCAAATCAAAAAACCCCTGAGATTTCACTTTACACCCATCAGAATGGCTAAGATCAAAAACTCAAGGGACAACACATGCTGGAGAGGATGTGGAGAAAGGGGAACCCTCCTCCTCTGCTGGTAGGAATGTAAACTTGTACAACCACTCTGGAAAGCAATATGGCACTTTCTCAGACAATTAGGAATAGTGCTTCCTGAAGATCCAGCTATACCACTCCTAGGCACATGTCCAAAATATGCTCAAGTACACAACAAGGACATTTGCTCAACCATGTTTGTAGCAGCTTTATTTGTAATAGCCAGAATCTGGAAACAACTCAGATGTACCTCAACTGAGGAATGGATAAAGAAATTGTGGTATTTTTACACAGTGGAATACTACCCAGCAATTAAAAACAAGGAAATGATGAAATTTGCAGGCAAATGGTAGGAACTAGAAAAGATCATCCTGAGTGAGGAATCCCAGAAGCAGAAAGACACACATGGTATATACTCTCTTATAAGTGGGTATTAGATGTATAATATAGGACAAACATACTAAAATCTGTACAAAGAAGCTAAGCAAGAAGGAGGACCCTGGGTAAATGATCAATCCTAACTTAGAAAGGCAAATGGGATGGACTTTGGAAGAGGGAGAAAACAGGCAACAGGACAGGAGCCTACCACAGAGGGCTGTTGAAAGATTCTACCCAGCAAGGTATTGAAGGAGATGCTGAGACTCATAGCCAAACTTTGGGCAGAGAGGAGGGACTCCTTAATTTTTTAAAGGTACAAAATAGATGAAATTGTTCAAACTGCAAACTCCACGCCAGTCATATCACCTACTGCTAGTTGAACTGGTTCAGATGGCAACCTTTCCTATTTGCATTTCTGGCTCTGCTACCTTTTCCATGTTGCAAACGGAGCATACAATGAGGATTCTATAGACTTAAGTCAAATTCAAAGAATGAGACACTTTGCCACATACGTGAACCAACCTTCTACTTGGCAGAATTCTCCCACACAGAACAAGGAAAATGCCCTTTAAGCCCTGAGCAACAGCAACGAAAACCTAATAAACTCAAAATCCTAGGTAATGGGGACTGGGTAGATGGTTCAGTTGGTAAATTGCATGCCATGAAAGTTCAGGTGCTCAGCTCAGCATCCATGTACAAAGCTGGGCACATCAGCACGCCGGGCACTGGGGAGGCAGAGACTGGGGTTCCTTGTGGCTTGCTGGCTGGGCAGCCTCGCTGACTCCATGAGCTCAAGAGCTCCAGGTCCACCTCATATTGATCTTTGGTACATAGGTACGTACACACACACACACACACACACACACACACACACACACACACACACACAC